AGAAAAAAACAAAACAAAAGTTTAATCACTCTGAATCCATATAGACAATGCAATAACAATTCAGTAAATATGCACACATTATCTGTAACTTTTCTATTTTTTTTTTTTATCTATTGCAAAGGCTGTCTCCTACTGGGGTGTGTTTTCTTCCTCTGTGTCCCACAGAGAGAAGAGAGAGGAGGAAGGGCTCTCTCTCCACTCCTCTTCAAAAGGAGTAATCTAATTGGCTTTCTATGTGAGGCAACGCCTCTTGGACCCGCCTCCTAATTTTAGCAAGGGCTTCCAGTCTAACCTGGCTGTCAAAGGGTTAACATCGTTCCAAACCTATGGTCCAAACTAGTGCATTTAATGCACAGACAGGCGATCTCACCCGTGGGTGTTGTGGGTGCTGTGACACCCTACTTTCACTAAATGTACACTTTTTACTAGTGGAGTCATTAAAAGAAACTTATCGGTCAAGTAAGATTTATTAAGTGACAACTAAGCCAATCTATCTATTGATTACAGTTGAAGCACGGTAAGGTTACATTTGCATTTATCCTCCTGTCACTCATACTGAGTCAGAGCTCAGAGCTCATACATGGAAACATGCTGCATGTAGCATCCTTCTAAAGAGAGTAAGTCACTCAAACAGAGGTTTTTAAGATAAATCCACACAAACAACATAAGTGTAACATTTTCTCTCTTGGTTGTTGTTTTAGCTGTATGTATTTACTCCATAACTTTACGATGTAGCAGAAGTCCCCTTTGCAGTTTTTCTAAATAAAGCACATTTTATGTGAAGACGGAAATAAGAGACTGAGGCGTAAGGCAATAGAAAAGCAAAATAATGGCATCACAAAGAACGTTTTGAATCTGGTTTCTAGAGCTGATGGGTTACTCACAATGATGTTCATAAAGTTAGTGTCTAATTATCTTTTGTAACTTTGTCTTGTTATATGATGTTTCAGCTAAACTTAGTTTTGGACATTAAATGAAACAGAATGTGTTGATTTCCTAGAGGGTGGTAATATATAGCACAGAACACACACACTTTTAAGATCACTGCTCCACCCTGTGCACAGAGTCTATGCACACACAGAATCAGCACAATATTCCAATCAACAGCCAAATAGAAAATATATTCTCTCCACCTATTTCATGTGAAACACACATAGCACAAACAGACAGAAAGAGAAGTTCACACTCCAATCAGCCGGCAGTTCTAAACTTTATAGGAATTTTTTCTGTTCTTTCTCTAATCTTGCTATCTGAATGGGTACAGACTATCCTCGCTGGTCTCTCACTTCTTAAAACAGATACTATATACACTTATGTATGTATAAACGTCCTTTATTAGGCTCATGTGTATTTATCAGATTAAACAAACATCTGAGGGGCTCATAGATTTTTATCAAATTTAATATTAAGTCCCTGAAACAAAGGGCTCATAGGTTTTTAACACTGATGAAGATCAGATAGTAAAAGTCCTCTGAAACAAGGCTCATGTTTTTATCACTGATGAAGCAAAATGTCCCTCTTATAAGTTACTAAATGCCTTTTAACCAATCACCTGCTACATATGCCTATTTATTAATACATCTATTTATTTATCAATCACACATATACAAGAACATTTCCGGATCAATACACATCTTCACACACACAGACCTCTCAAAACCATCCAATCAAACACAAGAGACAAGAACAGACAGAGACAGAGCCTTCAACAGCCACACACACTTCAGTTAGATTTTGAAGTCGACTCATTTATAATTTTCCTCTATCAATCTTTTACTTCTGTCAAACTTTTAACAAATTGTCTTTTAACAAATTACTTCACACTGCATGCTTCAATGCACACTTTTCCTTTACTCAGCGCTTTTTTCCCACTTTTCTCAAAACTCTTATCTTTATTCCTTATCTTCACTTTTCATCTTTTTACTTCTCATCTTTACATTCTCATCTTTATTTCTTCTCTTTTATTTTCCTACATTATACGTTTATCATCTATTCAAATACCTGGCCAGGGATCCTTTGTTTTATTTTTACTCAAATTTGACTACTTCTTAAAGCCAACTTTCACTTCAGTGTCTAATTTACACATGATACTGTTAAGAGGATACGGGCCTGTCCTTGTTAAACTTGCATAGTTTTTTAGCTAACTGGTCTCGTTACTAGTTGCGCTTATGCTATCATTACTTTCAACTTTTTATCTCTTCTTCTCTTATTTATCTCTTCTTTATTTTATTCCTTTATCTATATACTTTTTAACTCAATAACCCAATTTAGACGGAGAATTACTCCAACATCAACAATCATTGCACTTCAGTTCTTTGACAGTGCGGGCCAAAATTGCCGATAGACGACAGAAACAGCTCCGCAATATGTGCAGAAAAAGAAAGAAACACTTACGAAGTGATGGAAATAATAACAAGCTGTGGTCTGCAGAAGGCCAACTGATCCTGTTCGTGACGCCAAAATTGATGTGGATTCCTTGTTGTTGATATGTTTTGATGATGAAGAATTCGCCGTTGAGACTGACTTGCTTTCAAAGAGTATAATTTTATTTAAGCAGAAACAGAATCACTGGTCACGTCTGACCAGGAGGATCAAGAAGCCAATAATGATCTCTCTCGAAACACAGAGACAATTGCTTATTGCATCAAACATCCGCTTTTTCGTCATGGGTCATAAAATCACGTTACACAACCACATGTCACTACTCCTATACAATACCTCAATTTAAACATTCCACTAAGGGGACTCCTAAATCTCCTTCAGATACTATCACAAGACGCACCCGTTGTAAACTTATATTATCTCTGTCCTAGTTACATCAGACACTTCAGTCAAAAGGTCGTTCTTGTTAGAATTCAAACGTGGAACCTGATGACCTCCATGTGGGAACAGTTTGACCTCAACTGAGAGTTCAAACAGGATGGTTAGGAAATGATTCAAAGCAGGAAGCTGAAGGATTAACAATTATTCATGTTACTGAAACATTGGAGAGAGAAATGTTAACCTGGAATGACTCTAAAGAAATATCCACAATATATCCATAACATGTAGAAGTGGCATGGACGTCTTTCTAACAACAGTTTGAGAGGTTGTTAGTTTTACAGATTCTTATCTCTAACCTCGGTCACTGTCCTTGAACTCTCGTCAGCAGAATCATCTCTTCTTCTCTGCTGCTTGTAGACCTTTTTTATGCAGCAATAAATTATAAACAAGCAATATTTTATCTTTTTCAAACCAGCCGGACACTGAAGAGAGTCTTGATTTTAAACGTTAAAGGTCACATATTATCTAAAATCTAAAACACCAATATGTGTTTCTAGTCTGTTACAAACCCCAATGATGAGTAAAGTCATCTCTCCGTTTCTGCCTGCTCCACTTTTCAGAAAATGTGTGCTCAAACAGGCTGTTTGGAGATTTTCCCTTCATGACATCACAAAGGGCAGTAGCCCTCCCCAGGTGGGTGACACTCCCACAGCTAGGTGTTTGTTCTGCCTCTGAGTCTGCCTTCTCACGTAAACAATAGGACATGGAGCGAGAAAGCACCGAGTACCCAAAGTCTTCAGAGAGGGGGCGTGGTCAGACACAGCTCATTTACATATTTAAAGGTACAGACACAGAAACAGCCTGTTCTGAGCAGGGCTGAAATAGAGGGGTTTATAGACATGATCAAATACAGGATCAGAGTGGATTTAGAACAAGAAACTTCACACACATGTTTTGAGGAGCTCTGAGACTTATTTGATAGATTATAAATTTTGTGTGTACTGACATTTAAGAAAATGTTTTTCTCTTTCCTCTTCCAGATGATGGGAAGGTGGTGAAGGCCGTGTCGGTCGTCAAAGACAACGGGGAAACGAGGAGGTCATTCTGGAGGAGCTGACGGTCTTCCAGGTGAGACTCAGCATTCAGTCATTTCTATACTTAATGTAAAATCATTCAGAACTACTGAATCAAGCTGACCACTTTCAGGTCATGAAGGTTTACTTTCTCCACATGATCCACAGATCCTTAAAATCTGATTCCACACACACACACACACACACACACACCACACACACACACACACACACACACACACACGATGCTCCAGACTTTTAAGGCTAAAATCACAGAGTGTGTTCTGGTGTCTCCGGTGTACGTCTGCCAGCCCTTAAACATGTGATGTGCTGCACTTGGCCTTTGCATGTAGTTTCCAGTGGAACATATTTGGTCTGGGATTACTCAACCAAACAGAAAAAAAAGATAGCAGGGCACATATTTCCCAAGGTCTTCCATGTAAATGAGACAAGAGTAGAGCGAGGGAGGACAGAAAAAGATGAAGGAAAAGGTCAAAATACAGAAATATAGTTGTACCAAAAAAAATGGAGAGAGGAGACGGAAATAGAAGTGATAATGTGGAGGAGAAAAATACCTGTGTTTTTAAACCTGAGCCCTGTTTCATAATTCTGGTCGCCCTGAATTCAAAAGTGAATCTCCCATATTGAGGCACACATAAATTCATTGCATTTATTTGGCTAACTTGCCTAATGATGTATGTATAAGTTTTCATCTTTCTGTTTTTATTTTTTTTAAACTGTTTGGTGGAGTAACCCTTTAGACCGATGCGGGGAAAAACCAGAAGTTGGTGTCTACAAACCTGTTCTGTGAATCGGTCTTTAGCTTTCTGTGCTTCTGAGTCTTTTAGGGTATTTTATGCACAAACAAAAATGGGGTAAAGGTAACAAAATGTCCTCCTTAAAAGAAGTACGAAGAACATGAGTTGAAGGAAATGAGGCTCAGGAGCTTTAAAACAGAACACAGGTGACAGGAAGTAAGAAAACAACATGTGGAGCAGACAAACAGGAAACCAGAGGCACATTGTGTGTTTGTTATAACTGAGATTAAAACAGGATCTAAAACATTTCAATCAGCAACATACACAAAAGCAGGGACAAAGTGAAGCAGCTGGAGTGGACTGCACCGCCAGAGACAAACATCAGTGTCCATTTAATCGCTTTCTACCCACCTGAGTCTGATTTGAGCCAGAGGAGGTTCTGGTTTCAAAGACATTTGAGTATTGGGTCAGTTTGGCGGTGTGACAGAACTCAGGATACTCTGCTACCTTTCCTCCTTCCTTTAAGTCATACTCCCTGTCTCCTTTATCCTCCTCCTTTTCGACCGCTCTGCTCACACCGTCAGGGGTCATTAACTCCCTTTGTGAAATGTTGAAACAAGTCAGTGAGCCAGAGAAATGGAGCTGTGGGGTAATTCAGCCCTCAGAGGGAAGAAAAGGGACTCATTAGATTTCTAATCTCAGTAGCTGCCGTGACCTCAAAGTCAACCACAGAGTTTAATGCAACTCTGAGGCATTCCTCAGACTCTGCAGGACTGAAGTATCAGCTCGGTCTGCAGAGAGCATGCTGCCTTCCTGACGTTATCCCACGACTGTCTGCACAAAGTTTAGTACTTCAGAGTCTCTGTTGTTGCTTAATGTCACCTTCAGACCTCAATCAAAGATTTAAATAATGCTTCATGTTGACGATGGAGGAGAACGTGATGATCTTATCTTTATCATTTATTATTTATGATGTGTTAACATCAGATTTTATGCAGTATGTGTAACGCGCATGTGTGGTTTGTGGGTGTAACTGTTTTGTGCTGCTCTGTGAACGTGAGGATTGTTTGTTTTTAATGTTTTTTTTATTATTAGCTCAATCAGAATCAGAATCAGAATCAGGTTTTATTGGCAAGTACATTTACACATAAAGGAATTTGACTTGGTGTATTGGTGCTAAACAAATTAATAAGGAAATAAATCAGAACTAGCAACAGCTTAAATAATACAGTATAAGAAGATATTACAATGTATGAAATAGAATTTATTTTCCTCTGAGTTTGTAATCTAACTTTATCCTCAGTATATTCCACATCCTGACGTGCAATCAAATATGAATACATTTTTTTGTCACTTTCAACTGGGAGCAAACTTCTGATAAAAATAATAATTGAAAAAACAGAAACATCTGAAGACATTCAGGCGGACTTTGCTTCTAACTATAACATGTGTTTAGAGGATTGATGGAAATTTGGATGGGGAGGATAAAAATCAACAAACAAAATCTACATATTTCTTCAGAAATGTTTAAAAATTCAGGGCTGCAGTTACTCTGGATATTAAAGATTGTCTGATTTATTTATTTTTATTTTTCTGTTATTACTATCAACATGAGCTTTCAAACTTTTTTTTTTCCATGTACTGCTTGACATTATCACTTTTTGTTTGATTTTTGCAGAGTCCTACTCCAATCCTAAGCATGGAGCTGTCAACCAAACGAGTACGTCCCTCTGCCGGAACTTTCTCTGTTCTCTGACATTTTATGACGCATGTACTCCTGATATTCATTCAGTCATGATATGTATTTAAATCTCTCTGGAGGTAAGGTTATTCACAGAGCAGCTTTCACAGAATTCTCCACCTTCAAATAAAACTTAAATGCCATTGACTTATCTAAAACCTAAACTCCAGCTTCTGATTCTCTGACTTGTCATCTCCCTCTCCTTTCTGCAGCAGTTAAAGAATTCACAGTAGCCTAATCAACTTGTTTTCCTCCTCCACAGCAACAGCTGTATGTGTCCAGTGAGCTCGGTGTGGCCCAGCTGGGTCTGCAGAGGTGTGAGTTATACGGGACCGACTGCGCCGAGTGCTGCCTGGCCAGAGACCCCTACTGCTCCTGGGACGGACAGACCTGCTCCAGATACTTCCCCACCAGCAAGAGGTAAAAACATGCACAGGGAGAAGAGAGACACTGGAGACACTGATGCTGTATTCACACATACACAGAAACCCTGGTGATTCTTAGAGTAGTTACCCTCTTAAAGTCAGGGTTGGTCATTTTCCTCCAGATCCACTTTTTAAGATTCTGGTGTAAATTGTCTTTAGGTCCTGACAGACATTAATAACTCATGTTCTCTGAAAAAGGAACAAATAAAATCCATCATCTGTATCAGTTTGTAAGTCTGTAAAAACTTCCACCAATGTCTGCCACGAGGTACCAATCTGATGAACCAATCAGACGCCTCCTTGTCTCCCTGCTCGTTCTCTACCCCATGCATGCTCGAGACCACGCTGAAAGCATGAGCTGAGGTCTGCTTCTGGAGCGACGGCGCTCGTGCATGTAAGTGAGGGGGCGTGGCTTATGAGGGAGCACAGAGGGAATGCTACTTTCAAAATCATGATGCTAGTTTTTGACCAACCCTGCCTTTAAGGACATTAAGCAAAGAAAGGGGGAGGGGGGGGACAGGAAGCTGAGAGTCAGAGGAGCACAGAGGGAGGAGACATGACAACACTCTTTACTCTGGCTGAAACAACAATCTGTGTTTTCTTAGCCTGTTCCTGCTCTGTGGTTCTCGTTCATAATCGCAGTAGCTTCATAGTGTCACTCTGAGGAGCGGCAGGCGACCAGTAACAAACAGAGAGGAGGTTATAACACTTTATCTGAAGGCAGCCACACAATCTACGGCTGTCAGCTGCCGTGGAACTGATGAGTCTGCTGTCTCACACTTCACTCACACATACTTACCTACATTTCACTTTCGTTCACACGGACAACAGACACGATATTTAAGAAAGTAAAATGCAATGAAAGTGAAATTATAGACAAGATTAAATTCACCTCATTTGAAGATATATGTGTAAAGTTTCTGAATGAAACAGCAAGATGAATATTCTAAAAATGTGTGTGTGTGTGTGTGTGTGTGTGTGTGTCTGCGTGTGTGTGTGTGTGTGTGTGTGTGTGTGTGTGTGTGTGCGTGTGTGTCATGTGTGTGTGTGTGTGTGTGTTTCAGGAGGGCGGAGACAGGATGTAAAGTACGGAGACCCTGGAGTCAGTGTCCAATCACAGAGGACGGTGAGGATTTCCTCCTGAGATTTGAATAAAGCGTCTCTGTTTTAAAGTCGTTCCTGTCCGCAGTGACATCATGCTCAACTGCATGAGTAGTATGAACTGCATGTTAGAGGCGTCTCAGTCTGGATCCTCACAGTCAGTTAGAAAGCTGTTTGGATCCAAGATTATGATCAGAAAGGAAATCACAAAAACTAGATTATCTAAACCATTTCTTGTTAATGATATAAAAAATGAAGACGAGGCTCGATGAAAACTCCAACTTCCACAGACTCTGTGCACGCCGTCAGGGCTGCACATTACGCCTAGTGCGCTGCACTAGTCAATGATTGTGTTTCCACAGCGAGCGCCGTCCGTCTCTGGTGCGTTCCACCAGCGTCACTACGCTCTTTGTTTCAAATACGCTGCAAGTCTATTTTTTGACAGAGGACGCGCAGGCACACGTCAAGCTGGACAGAATAGAACGACCTGGACAGGAAGTCAGACAAGGAAAACACAGAGCGTCCGGTCAATTTCAAAATAGAACACAAAATACAGACTCTCGTATTTTTCACCTTTTTTCAACATTACATCAAAAGGCACGAATGAAACAAATCATCTCAGAAAGCAAAGCAATGTTGTCTGCACGCTTTTTTCTTATTCCACCTGATCTTGTAGTTTCTGTGATGTGAGTACAGCTGCTCATGGCTGCGCTCACACTCCAGAAACTGATCGGGTGGGGCAGGGGCACGCTGTCCGACGGAGTATGTTGGGATTGGGGGGTCACTGAAACTGTATTGTGTGGTTTAAAACCTTTACTTCTTTAAAATAAATTATAATAATTTAGAAAATGTCTGAAGCTTTCTTGTCATTTATTTCATCCATACACAGAATATTGTGGGCGGACATTTAATCTATATATTCAGTTTGACCTTTGACTGTTTCATACGGTCGCCAACAAGAGCAGCTGTGCAGCAATTTAAAAACTATGCAAACTCAGAAGCCATACTGAAATCAAACAAAGCACTAACATCAAATGTGCTGCAAAAACATTAAAAAAATACATATACAAGTCAAAAACCAGAAATTGACAAATGCTGCTAATCAGCGCTATGGCTGTAGGGGGCGCTCAGTGAAAGAGCGAGAGGGACCAGGCACTGCGTGTTTTGTTTAGATGGGACGACAGAATGAAGTAAAGCACATCCTCATTGAATCACTCGTCAGCGTCTGTTTCACCTGATAG